TAGAAGTTGTGTGGGGAGAGGTATGTAAAAGTGAACACTTGAGTTGTAAGAAATCTAGTTCCACATTATGCCTTTGTATCACCTGAATGCCAAGATGTCATCTTTAACACACGTTATGCAATCTATTAAAAAGGCTGTGGTGGAGATACCTTAGGTGATATAGMCAAATGTCGTTTAGCAACGCATTAAAACTTGCCCAGGTTGTTTATTTCAGAAATGAAATAAGCTATACAGTGGTGGATCCAGGACTTTAAGAGGAGGGGTTCATTTTTGCAAATCTCGGAACAACAATAACGTTCTCTTGCATCACCATTTTTCCCATGAGGCACATCACTGGCCTAGGGGCGCTCCTGATAAGGATAACCTATCTATCAAAAAGCGGACCTACCATACTTTTATCTATTTATTTTAAAAAATATAAAAAATCCAAGGTACCAGCCGGTGGGGACTTCATTTGCACCCAATAAACCCCCCCTAAATCCGCCACAGCTATAAWCGAACTATGATCAACAGCAAYGGCAGTTTCCAAATCGACATACAAGTGGAGACATCGGCCTCTAGATTTACCTCACATTCGAGCCCTAATTACAAAGGCTCATAAGGGAGCGTTTATAGTTTATCTAGATGGGGGTCTATGATTATTTCTGATTTTTTTCTCCTCATTTTTAAAGCCCCCCCCTCCCCCCAGATAATCTATGAGGAAAAAATTTGCCCCGCCCCTCAAGAAATATCAATTACTCAAGGGAAAATATCGTGCCTCCCCCCCTCATGGCATGACTAACCTACCATATAATAAGTTCAATTTTTGATCTTAACTTCTACATTTGAATGATACTATTGGAGTTTTAAAACATTTTGCTTCAGTTAAACATGGTTTCCTAATAARAACATGATGCTATTAACTGAATAAAACTTTAATAAATTTAAACAACTGACATCAAGAAAAGGAAGATTCACTGGTTAGTTTGACACAATAAATTACAATTATCAATCTGTCAACATTCTAGACACTTTATATGTATGTGTGATTTTATGTTAGCAAAATATATTAACAGGTTTTTTTTTTTTT